ATGGTGGCCCACCTCAGTGTCCAAGGTGTGGAGGGGAATGGTAGCCCACCTCAGTATCCAAGGTGTGGAGGGGAATGGTCACCCACCTCAGTGTCCAAGGTGTGAAGGGAATGGTGGTCGACCTCAGTGTCCAAGGTGTGGAGGGAATTGTGGTCGACCTCAGTGTGCAAGGTGTGGAGGGAATGGTGGTCGACCTCAGCGTCCAAGGTGTGGAGGGGAATGGTGGTCGACCTCAGTGTCCAAGGTGTGGAGGGGAATGGTGGTCGACCTCAGTGTCCGAGGTGTAGAGGGGAATGTTGGCCCACCTCAGTGTCCGAGGTGTGGAGGGGAATGGTGGTCGACCTCAGCGTCCAAGGTGTGGAGGGGAATGGTGGTCGACCTCAGTGTCCAAGGTGTGGAGGGGAATGGTGGTCGACCTCAGTATCCGAGGTGTGGAGGGGAATGGTGGCCCACCTCAGTGTCCGAGGTGTGGAGGGGAATGGTGGTCGACCTCAGTGTCCAAGGTGTGAAAGGGAATGGTGGCCCACCTCAGTGTCCGAGGTGTGGAGGGGAATGGTGGTCCACCTCAGTGTCCGAGGTGTGGAGGGGAATGGTGGTCCACCTCAGTGTCCAAGGTGTGGAGGGGAATGGTGGTCGACCTCAGTGTCCAAGGTGTGGAGGGGAATGGTGGCCGACCTCAGTGTCCAAGGTGTGGAGGGGAATGGTCGCCCACCTCAGTGTCCAAGGTGTGGAGGGGAATGGTCGCCCACCTCAGTGTCCAAGGAACCTAGTGTGTGTGTGTGTATGGGTGTGTGTGTGTGTGTGTGGGTGTGTGTGTGTGTGTGTGTGTATGGGTGTGTGTGTGTGTGTGTGTGTGTGTGTGTGTGTGTGTGTGTGTGGGTGTGTGTGTGTGTGTATGGGTGTGTGTGTGTGTGGGTGTGTGTGTGTGTGTGTGTTAACTATATGTGCCTGAATCCTCGAAAGCAAGTTTGACCTCCGTGCACTGGTCGACATTTTGATGGAATGTTTGGAAGAATTTAGAGAGGGATAAAAGTGAACTGAGACAGGGTGAGATGAAGAGAGGGAGAGAGAGAGAGAGAGGGATAAAAGTGAACTGAGACAGGGTGAGATGAAGAGAGGGATAAAAGTGAACTGAGACAGGGTGAGATGAAGAGAGGGAGAGAGAGAGGGATAAAAGTGAACTGAGACAGGGTGAGATGAAGAGAGGGAGAGAGAGAGGGGGATAAAAGTGAACTGAGACAGGGTGAGATGAAGAGAGGGATAAAAGTGAACTGAGACAGGGTGAGATGAAGAGAGGGATAAAAGTGAACTGAGACAGGGTGAGATGAAGAGAGGGATAAAAGTGAACTGAGACAGGGTGAGATGAAGAGAGGGATAAAAGTGAACTGAGACAGGGTGAGATGAAGAGAGGGAGAGAGAGAGAGGGATAAAAGTGAACTGAGACAGGGTGAGATGAAGAGAGGGATAAAAGTGAACTGAGACAGGGTGAGATGAAGAGAGGGATAAAAGTGAACTGAGACAGGGTGAGATGAAGAGAGGGAGAGAGAGAGAGGGATAAAAGTGAACTGAGACAGGGTGAGATGAAGAGAGGGAGAGAGAGAGAGGGGGGAAGAGAGAGAGGGAGAGAGAGAGAGAGGGATAAAAGTGAACTGAGACAGGGTGAGATGAAGAGAGGGAGAGAGAGAGCGGAAGAGAGAGAGGGAGAGAAAGAGAGAGGGATAAAAGTGAACTGAGACAGGGTGAGATGAAGAGAGGGAGAGAGAGAGGGGAAGAGAGAGAGGGAGAGAGAGAGAGGGGGGAAGAGAGAGAGGGAGAGAGAGAGAGAGGGATAAAAGTGAACTGAGACAGGGTGAGATGAAGAGAGGGAGAGAGAGAGAGGGAGAGAGAGAGGGAGAGAAAGAGAGAGGGATAAAAGTGAACTGAGACAGGGTGAGATGAAGAGAGGGAGAGAGAGAGAGGGGGGGGGGGAAGAGAGAGAGGGAGAGAGAGAGAGGGATAAAAGTGAACTGAGACAGGGTGAGATGAAGAGAGGGAGAGAGAGAGGGATAAAAGTGAACTGAGACAGGGTGAGATAAAGAGAGGGAGAGAGAGAGAGGGATAAAAGTGAACTGAGACAGGGTGAGATGAAGAGAGGGAGAGAGAGAGAGGGGGGAAGAGAGAGAGGGAGAGAGAGAGAGGGATAAAAGTGAACTGAGACAGGGTGAGATGAAGAGAGGGAGAGAGAGAGGGGAAGAGAGAGAGGGAGAGAGAGAGAGGGGGATAAAAGTGAACTGAGACAGGGTGAGATGAAGAGAGGGAGAGAGAGAGAGGGATAAAAGTGAACTGAGACAGGGTGAGATGAAGAGAGGGAGAGAGAGAGAGAGGGGGGAAGAGAGAGAGGGAGAGAGAGAGAGAGGGATAAAAGTGAACTGAGACAGGGTGAGATGAAGAGAGGGAGAGAGAGAGCGGAAGAGAGAGAGGGAGAGAAAGAGAGAGGGATAAAAGTGAACTGAGACAGGGTGAGATGAAGAGAGGGAGAGAGAGAGGGGAAGAGAGAGAGGGAGAGAGAGAGAGAGGGGAAGAGAGAGAGGGAGAGAGAGAGAGAGGGATAAAAGTGAACTGAGACAGGGTGAGATGAAGAGAGGGAGAGAGAGAGGGGAATAGAGAGAGGGAGAGAAAGAGAGAGGGATAAAAGTGAACTGAGACAGGGTGAGATGAAGAGAGGGAGAGAGAGAGGGGGGGAAGAGAGAGAAGGAGAGAGAGAGAGAGGGATAAAAGTGAACTGAGACAGGGTGAGATGAAGAGAGGGAGAGAGAGAGAGGGATAAAAGTGAACTGAGACAGGGTGAGATGAAGAGAGGGAGAGAGAGGGATAAAAGTGAACTGAGACAGGGTGAGATGAAGAGAGGGTGAGATGAAGAGAGGGAGAGAGAGAGAGGGATAAAAGTGAACTGAGACAGGGTGAGATGAAGAGAGGGAGAGAGAGAGGGGGGGAAGAGAGAGAGGGAGAGAGAGAGAGAGGGATAAAAGTGAACTGAGACAGGGTGAGATGAAGAGAGGGAGAGAGAGAGGGGAAGAGAGAGAGGGAGAGAAAGAGAGAGGGATAAAAGTGAACTGAGACAGGGTGAGATGAAGAGAGGGAGAGAGAGAGGGGAAGAGAGAGAGGGAGAGAAAGAGAGAGGGATAAAAGTGACCTGAGACAGGGTGAGATGAAGAGAGGGAGAGAGAGAGGGATAAAAGTGAACTGAGACAGGGTGAGATGAAGAGAGGGAGAGAGAGAGAGGGGGGAAGAGAGAGAGGGAGAGAGAGAGGGGGGAGAGAGAGAGGAAACATGAATCATTTGTTCAGTTAGTTTCCATTGAGGCAAGAGTGTTATCCTAGGCCGTTATCTGGGGCGATGAGCAGACGTATTGGAACCAAAAATAGCGCCACTGGTTGCAGGGCTGGAGGCGGGATGTGTGGAGCCGGGATGTGGGGAGGAGAGGGGCGCAGCAGCCATTGATGTCTGCAGGTGGCTGGGGCCGGTAGATACAAGCCCACTGTCCTGGCCTGACTCGGTTCTTGGAGACTGGGAGACTTGATGTTTCCTGAGTGTGCCATTTGCTGGCGACGTCAGTTTGGTACTTGGTTTATAATCAAGAGTGGCGAGACAATCAATTTGCACGTGAAGCGCTAGCAGGTAGAGAGTATCATGTGAAATTGCAAGCAAAAATGAACAGCTATGATATTAACATTGTATGTAACAATGAATAACTATGATATTAACATTGTAAGCAACAATGAACAACTATGATATAATATTAAATGCAACAACAAACAACTGTGATATCGAGATGTTGTTTATGAACTAGGAGATAAACATATAAAGTAAATATTTGCCTAGCCTGGTCAACATACATGTATATGTCATCTACAAAATACTATCATGTACAGCACACCATCATGTACAACACACCGTCATGTACAGCACACCGTCATGTACAACACACCGTCATGTACAACACACCGTCATGTACAACACACCGTCATGTACAACACACCGTCATGTACAACACACCGTCATGTACAACACACCGTCATGTACAACACACCGTCATGTACAACACATCGTCATGTACAACAAACTGGATGTCAAGCTGGTACCACGCCGGCAACAGAAAGAGCTGTAATCACAAACGGGGTGAGCAGTCGTCAACGAGTTGTCTTGTGTGTCTATGGGGATCGGGTGACTTCAAGAGTAGTTGCTCAACATCAACCCAGGCTTTCTTGTATGGAAAGACAGCAAAGTGAACGTTGGCAGCTTATAACCTACAACACGAGAGGCACGGGTTCAAATCACATAAGCTAGGTTTGACATTAGGGACTGGTTGATATCCAGGATCAAGAATTAAGAACAACTGTACGCACAAGACCGGTCAATGATTTTATTGACCATCAAGTAACCAAATGGTTTGGCCATAACATAGCATAAACAGGGAGGAGCTAGAGCCAAATACATAACAATAGCAGACTACAAAGCAAGAGGTAGACTAAGAAAAAAATGGGTGGATGGAGTAAAAAGAGACACTATTGAAAACAATATGACATTATCACAAGCACAATTCAAGACACCGCACCTGAGTCCTCCCGTGCACGCTTGACAGCAGATGCAGTCAGACAAGAGAAGAAAGAGACCATCTCAGATACGAAGTACTGACTACCCAAGCAGAAGAAACGACAAACAGGCTATCCAAGCAGAAGAAACGGCAAACAGGCTACCCAGGCAAAAGAAGCGACAAACAGGCTACCCAAGCAGAAGAAACGACAAACAGGCTACCCAAGCAGAAGAAACGACTAACACGCTACCCACGCAAAAGAAACGACAAACAACAGGTGGATCAGAAGTTTCCATTATATATGTTTTATCTTGGTCACTGATTGTATTTTTTACTGAGGTATCATTAGCTGGATGACGTCATGTGTGTGAAGACAACAGTTGTAGCCATCTTGAGCAGACTTGGCTATATGCTGATGTCATCAGTTTTAGAGCTGTACCTTCTCTAAAGCTTGTGCAAAATCCTTGATTAAATCTTCTGGGTCTTCTATGCCAATACTGCAAGATAAAAAATAATAATAGTAATAGTAATAATATTATAAGAGGTCTTTTGCAGAACGTTGCCACAATCACGCCACCACACCCCTCCCATTGTTTTCTTAGAAAGACATAGCTTCTTGAGAATTGCCCTAGATGTCTATGTTCAAATGCCAGTATCGCATGTCTACGTCCATCGACTCGGCGTGTTGGCTTCCAGCAACCACATCTTCCATTACTGTTCTTCCTAATAAGAGCAATGATAATATCTTTAACAAAGAAGACACGAAGCATGTCAGAAGCATGTCTGTCTGTTTACAAAGTTCAGGACTGATGAAACCAATCGTGGCAGCTTCAAGAAGACTTAGCTTTTTGCCCTTGGATGACCTGTGAAGGATTTGAAATGTGCTGTCTTGATAACAGTGTGTCCTTGTGTCTGACCTACTGTGCTATAATAACAACATATTCAGGATTTGTGAATACCGTCCTGTGACCCCGCGGGCAGAGTTACAATTATGGTCAGTGTTGATGCTTCTCAAGAAAGTGACCAGGTTTACCGCTGACTCTGTTGTCCCATGTGTGTGATGACTCTGGGGTTTTCATACATAACATAACCTACATACATAACATACATAACCTACATACATAACATAACCTACATACATAACATAACCTACATACATAACCTACATACATAACATAACCTACACACATAACATAACCTACATACATAACATAACCTACATACATTACATAACCTACATACATAACATAACCTACATACATAACATAAGCTACATACATAACATAACCTACATACATAACATAACCTACATACATAACATAACCTACATACATAACCTACTTACATAACATAACCTACATACATAACCTACATACATAACATAACCTACATACATAACCTACATACATAACCTAACCTACATACATAACCTAACCTACATACATAACATAACCTACATACATAACATAACCTACATACATAACCTACATACATAACATAACCTACATACATAACATAACCTACATACATAACATAACCTACATAACATAACCTACATACATAACCTACATACATAACCTACATACATAACCTACATACATAACCTACATATATAACATACATACATAACCTACATATATAACCTACATACATAACCTACATATATAACCTACATATATAACCTACATACATAACATAACCCTTGACCCGTCAAGGCCGTCGTCGTGTATGGGATGAAGCACTAACACAAGAAACTCGAAATCTTTCTGTCTTCTACTTGCTAAACAAGTGTGTGATAACTTAGTCCTGTCCATTTCTTGATGTTGTCATTCCAGGTTATTGTAATTCCAGGTTATTGTCATTCCAGGTTCTTGTTTAAACCCCCCCCCCCCCCCCTTTCCCCCTATCTTCTAGAATCCGATCTCACCACTCACCAGGTACCTGACTCACGCTAGCTTGCCATGTTTGCCCACTAACAATGAAACCTTCTGATGTGATGCAAATTTACGTATTTGGTTTGTGACATACTTATTAGTATTCTAACTAACTAATTCATTAAATTCGTCTACAGTCTAAACGCTTCTTCATACATCCACATTGAGAGTCCAACTGTCACATCCGTATTAGACAATAGGCAACACCAGTGATTTGTAAATATTGACCTTGACTGCGATGCTGACTTTGCTGGTTCACGCTGTATTCAGCTGCGACTTCTATCTATCTACTTGTACCGCACTAGGACATCACACACGCGATAGACATCCGATGACACAAAGTGACACCATGTGGATGAGGATCATCGTGGAGAGATCCCAGAAACCGCTTTCAGCCATTAGACCATATTTATGGCCGGGCTATATTGCGGCCCCTGGCAAGAGCCAGAGTAGGGCTTCAAACAACGAAAAATTGCTTCCCACATTGGAGACGACACGGTTAGTGAGCTGGGACATCGCGGCTGTGGCCATATCAAGTCTTGTCTTGATCTACTCTGGGGTTGAACCTGCCTTAAACAAAATGACCAGACTCTAGTTTCTGAGACTGTATGAGAAAGGAAACCTACCACTCACCAGTTCAAAGAAGTGCCGTTTTCTGTTTATCTCATAGCTATGGCGTGTGTAGTTGTTTTCATCCACTACCTTCTGTCTTTTGTTAGAAGTTGTTAGTTGTGTATCCTTGCAGAACCAACACCAGCATTGTGTGGGCTGTTTGTGGTTTCATCAGCAATTTTACATTAAGGAGTAGAGTTTAGAGGGTTGAGTTTCGGCACTTCGGGGCATAGTTTGGGCACTTCAGGACAGAGTTTGGGCACTTTGGGACAGAGTTTGGGCACTTTGGGACAGAGTTTGGGCACTTTGGGACAGAGTTTGGGCACTTCGGGACAGAGTTTGGGCACTTCAGGACAGAGTTTGGGCACTTCGGGACAGAGTTTGGGCACTTCGGGACGGTATGTGAGCCACTTCAAGTGGAGCTGGGTACACTGCCAGCTAACAGTTAAAAAAGGATGTGCTTTCTCTGTGTGGATGTGTGTTGTGTGCATGTATGTGCATGCTTGTGTATGTGTGTTGTGTGCCTGTCTGTTTGTGCGTGCGTCCATGCTTGTGTTTGTGTGTGACAAGAGAACAGACCTGATCCTCAACATGCCCGCAGTGATCCTGGACTCGACCATCTCCTCCTGGGTGAAGATGTACTTGCCGTGGGTCATGCTGTAGGGGTGCTCGAGAATACTCTCCACGCCACCCAGCGAGACTGCCAGCCGGAGGATTCGGACATTCTGGGCAAGTAGACATGCACACAGCTATATATGGATGTAGACATGGACACAGCTATATATTGATGTAGACATGGACACAGCTATATATTGATGTAGACATGGACACAGCTATATATTGATGTAGACATGGACACAGCTATATATTGATGTAGACATGGACACAGCTATATATTGATGTAGACATGGACACAGCTATATATTGATGTAGACATGGACACAGCTATATATTGATGAAGACATGGACACAGCTTTATATGGATGTAGACATGGACACAGCTTTATATAGATGTAGACATGGACACAGCTATATATGGATGTAGACATGGACACAGCTATATATGGATGTAGACATGGACACAGCTATATATTGATGTAGACATGGACACAGCTATATATTGATGTAGACATGGACACAGCTATATATTGATGAAGACATGGACACAGCTTTATATGGATGTAGACATGGACACAGCTTTATATAGATGTAGACATGGACACAGCTATATATGGATGTAGACATGGACACAGCTATATATGGATGTAGACATGGACACAGCTATATATGGATGTAGATATGGACACAGCTTACGTTTTGACATGAGTAAAGTGGCGCGAAGATCAGGTGACAGCAGAAGGTAATGATTGGCAGGGGTGCTGTGACAACGCAAACCATGGGTGTGGGGTGGTCATGGCCTCTTGCAATATTCTAGAAACAGGGCTCACAGAAGGCTTAAGTCTTGTTTAACTGTGCAGTAATAAGTAGTATGTGCTGACTAATAAATAAATATGTAATAATGGGGGAAAAAATGCTTGGAAAGAAAGCGTTCATGATCTAGGCGGAAGTCGGCAATAATCCTCCATGCAAATTCTCTAGAGTCGGGTCGGATGGTGGTGGGGGGAGGTTGTGGAGGCATCAACCTCCCAACATTTATGGGCGGTGGTGGGGAAGGGCGGTCAACGTGCCTGAGCCGCCATCTTACAGTTTCTGCCAACTAGAGCTCTTCAGAAAAAAAAAGCAATAATGTAGAGGTGGGTGAATTTCGCAGATAATAAAATCGAAATTGTTGAGGTGTAAGTGACGGTATTTCTAGCATCTCCACAAATGCTCGCAAATATTCATAAGTAACTATGTCACGTGATTAGGAAATAGATTGATAGCCAACCTCAGCCACGGTCCGTCCCCCAGACTCGCCGCCTTTAATCTCCGCCATGATCATGCCGCTGTAAGCTGTCATCTGTTTCCTGGCAACATCGTGCTGGGGATGCGACTTGAGGCCCGGGTAGCGCACTCTCTCCACCTGCAGACGTAAAAAATGAACATTTGCATCTTTCGACAGACC